ACAGTGGGGGTGGGTGGGGAGGTCGAGGAGGGATAACATGGGGAGAAATGCCAGATGTAGGTGATGGGGGTTGGAGGCAGCAAACCACATTGCCATGTATGTACCTGTGCAACAATCCTGCATGATCTGCACATGTACCCCAGAACCTAAAGTACAATAAAATAAATAAATAATAAATAATAAAAATAAATGCATTTTAGCAAACTTTACCCCTGTACTAGTACTGTGTAGGAATTCGTTTTTAACCCTGGTCACTATGAAACCGCCTTTGCAAAATTATGACTGAGACAGTGAAAGAGATCTAACCTAACTGACTCTATCTTGCTCCTAATCTCCAAGCTATCCTTGTTCATTCCTGGACATAAAGGCTCAACTAACTTTGGGAAGAACTTAGTTTATAGTTTACAACAAAGCTAGCTGGGTGTGGTGGCTCACGCCTGTAATCCCAGCACTTTGGGAGGCTAAGGTGGGTACATCACTTGAGGTCAGGCATTCGAGAGCAGCCTGGCCAACATGGTGAAAACTCGACTCTACTAAAAGTACAAAAATTAACTGGATGTAGTGGTGCACCCCTGTAATCCCAGCTACTCAGGAGGCTGAGGCAAAAGAATCACTTGGACCCAGGAGGTGGAGGTTGCAGTGAGCTGAGATCACGTCACTGCACTCCAGCCTGGGTGACAGAGAGACAATCTGTCTCAAAAACAAAACAAAACAAAACAAAAAGACAGTAACAACCCTTTTCCAAAACAAACCTCCTTGTCTGGGGACTAGATTGCCTTTGTAGGACTAAGAATTTAGCCACAAGATTAGAAATTATGGTTTAGGAGTCAGGAAGCTGGAGGCTACAAGATTCTGACCCTCCCTAAACTGCTCCTAAAATCAGTGCTTGAGATATTTGCAGACACTGCAGTTGATGGATTAGCTGGCACCACCCGGATTGATTGACTGACTCATCTGATCTTGTGGCCCCCACTCAGCACAAGAAGACAGCTTCAATTCCCTACGATTGCATCCCTGACCAATCAGTGCTCCTGGATCACTGGCTTTCCCCTACCCACTAAGTTGGCTTTAAAAACTCTGCTCCCCAAATGCTCCGGAGACTGATTTGAGTAGTAATAAAACTCCGGTCTCTTGAAAAGTGGACTCTGTGTGAATTACTTTCTTTATTGCAATTTCCTTGTCTTGATAAATAGCTCTGTCTAGGCAGCAGGCAAGGTGAACCCATTGGGCAGTTACTACTAGAATTAAGCAGACTGACAAAAACTCTCTCCTTACCCAAACTCTAGCCAGGTTCCTCTGAACCTTTTTTTTTTTTGAGACGGAGCTCTGTCACCCAGGCTGGAGTGCAGTGGCACGATCTCAGCTCACTGCAAGTTCCACCTCCTTGGTTCAAGCATTTCCCCTGCCTCAGCCTCCTGAGCAGCTGGGATTACAGGCATGTGCCACCAAGCCTAGCTAACTTTTTTGTATTTTTAGTAGAGATGGGTTTTCACCATGTTGGCCAGATGGGTCTGGAAATACTGACCTCAGGCAATCCGCCCGCCTTAGCCTCCCAAAGTGCTGGGATTACAGGCGTGAGCCACCGCACCCAGCCTGAACTCTCTTTTTAACTGAACCACAAGCTTGGCCTGTAGAAACTGCTGACTATGTACAAATGATTTTGTCCACTCCCTATCCATCCCTGCTCTTCCACCACACACACACTAAGAGACCTGAACAGACAGTAGCATAGTTTCTCACAGCTCAAGTCCACATCTTTAGGATGACAACTCCAGCTTCCTCAAGTTCCTGCCTAAGAAAGCTCTATGCTGCCAGGAGAATTACTGTTTGTTCCAGCCAAAATCTGGTGACAGGCATGTAGGTCCCTAGACCCCGTCTAACTACAGTTATTTTAGAAAGCCTGCAATTATAAATCCTTTCTCTGACCCTTTGAAATGTAAATCTACCACCCAGAACTGTCTTCTCAGGGGCCTGAGAGCCATCTCTTTAAAATGCAAACCTTCAAGGAGACAATTCTCACACTTGATCTTGTCCCTGTGGAGGGGAAGGGCCTAACCTTGGTAGATGCGCTGTTTTAACTTACGCCACTGCCTCTCCTATCCTGAAACTACCAGATGTTTGTTTCTCCTCTGGGTAGTGCCAATTAACAAACCACCAGATGGCCTAGTCACATGCACCAGTGCCCCCTTTACGCCCTTCAGCACATTTCCTTTAGCACCACCAGCTTTTAAAAAGTCTGTCTCGTGTCCCAGTGAAGCTTCACATTGGCCCCTCCTTCCTACTGCAGTAGTTATCGGTGCATAGACGTTATCCACCTTTAAACTCTCTGCTAACTATCCACTTTAGTAGCCAGCCTTTTTTTATCTTTGACAAGACCAACCCCAGAGATTCTATCTCAGTGGGCCTGAGGTGGTGCCTAGGTGTTAAGATGTTTTTAAAAGCCTCACAAGAAGAGTCTTCTGATGCAGAATCAGAATTGAGAATAACTGCTGTTGGATAGTGGCTCTCAAAGTGGGGACTATGGGCTAATAGTATCGTTATCACCTGGAAAACTTGTTAGAAATGCAAATACTTCACCTGGTGCGGTGGCTCAGGCCTCTAATCTCAGCACTTTGGGAGGCTGAGGTGGGCCGATTACCTGAAGTCAGGAGTTCGAGACCAATCTGGCTAACATGGTGAAACCCCATCTCTACTAAAAATACAAAAATTAGTCAGGCATGGTGGCATGTGCCTTTAATTCCAGCTACTCGGGAGGCTGAGGTGGGAGAATGGCTTGAACCCAAGAGGTGAAGGTTGCGGTGAGCCCATATCATGCCACTGCCCTCCAGCTTGAGTGACAGAGCCAGACACTGTCTCCAAAGGGAAAAAAAAGGCAAATACTTGTCCCCCACATCTCAACTTGCCTACTGAAGCTGAGATTTTGGGAGTGGGGCCCACAATCTGTCTCAGCAAGCCTTTATGGTAATTTGGATGCACTAAACTTTGAGAACCACTGCTAGAGGAGGTTAGATTTGTTCTGTGTAATATAATTAGGACTTTGATAGTTGTTAACTGTGACTTGAAACCTAGTTATGTCAATAAACATTAACCTGAAGAATGTGTCCGCAAAATTTCTTACTCCTGCTCCACTCCCTTTCCCTGCTTTCCCCCTCTCCTCTATATTTTCTCTGAAATGAGAACTAGAAGGATCCTGGGTCATTAATAGTCTTGGAAATCACCATTTATCTTTGAAATTGTAACACTATTGCTAAGCTTCAATGACAACATTGGCCATTGGAAAGGGTGAATAGAATCCAATACTCTTCTTCCTTTAGAAATTTTCAAATATCCTAAAATATACCCTTGGGCTAAAGTTTTTGTAACTGGATGTATGTTTCAGAAAGAAAGTCTGGGTAAGAAAAATGATAGAATTTATAAATTATTTCTTTTTTTTTTTTTTTTTTTTTTTTTACTTTGATAGTTGAAGATTAAGTGTGTTTTGTTCCAGAATATGTAGCCCAGGCTTTTGTCAGCTTCCTGTTTTTCTGTTTTTTTAAGATAGAGTTTTACTTTGTTGCCCAGGCTGGACTGCAGTGGCATGATCTCAGCTCATTGCAACCTCCTGGGTTCAATTGATTCTCCTGCCTCAGCCTCCCGAGTAGCTGGGATTAAAGGTATGTGCCACCACGCCCAGTTAATTTTTGTATTTTTAGTAGAGATGGGGTTTTACCATGTGGGCCAGGCTGGTCTCGAACTCCTTACTTCAAGTGATCTGCCTGCCTTCACCTCCCAAAGTGCTAGGATTACAGACATGAGCCACCATGCCTGGCCCAGCCTCTTCTTTCTTATCCTAGAGAGTAGGAGGAGGTGTGTCAGGGAAGTGGACAATCATTCCCTCCCTGAATGGAGAAGAGGTCATTGGAAGATGGGAGGAAAAACAACTGAAGTGTTCTACTGCTTTCTACGCTAGTCAATGCCGAACAGTTATGGCTCTTTTCATTCATCCCTTCGTCTCATTTGTAAATGGAAAAACACATTCCACAAAAAGACGTCTTTGTTTCTGGAAACACTTGTTTTAGAAAAAAACAGAAGAGGTGTGAGGAAAGCTTTATTTTGGGGAAATATATTCTCTTGTTTTTCTTTGTTAAATGTTTATGTCATCTTGTAAAATACAAGATATAGTGAAATAAATGATAAAAACGAATTTTGAACTTTGGAGATATGTAGATTTTGGCAAGAGAGGTATCTCTTTGTATTTCTCACATTAGGATTATTTTGTAAGCACATGCTAGTCTTGCCTCAGTTTGGGGCAAACTAACGGTATTTTAAAGAGATGCCATTGCTGAAGGGCATCAAACATTTATTTCCTTTAAGAATTATTCAGGGTGGGGTGTGGTGGCTCACGCCTGTAATCACAGCACTTTGGGAGGCGCAGGTGGGTGGATCACCTGAGGTCAGGAGTTCGAGACCAGCCAGGCCAACATATGTTGAAATCCTGTCTCTAATACAAAAATTAGCCAGGCGTGGTGGTGCATGCCTGTAGTCCCAGCGACTTGGGAAGCTGAGGCAGGAGAATTGCTTGAACCCAAGAGGTGGACACTGCAGTGAGCCAAGATCACACCATTGCACTCCAGCCTGGTGACAGCAAGACTCCAGCTCTCAAAAAAAAAAAAAAAAAAGAAAAGAAAAGAAAAAAAGAATCATTCAGACCCACTTGCTCTTCTAATGACCAAAAATATTTCTGTGAAATTACCTAGTTTTCACTTATATCCATGCTTCTATTAATGGATTAGAAACTCTTCAATAACCTCCTGCAGAGTTTCAAATCTGGCTTCAACTATCTTTGCCTAATCAGTAGAGCATTAGAACCAAGAAGTCAAACCAGTCTCCCACTGCCTGTCTCTCCACCTCCCCGCTCTACCCAAAAACTCGTTTATAAGTGAAAGGTGACTTCAGCTGGGAGGTGAAGGGGTGGCCTCTTGTGTGTTAAAGTTAATTATTTTCTCATACTTCCTTTCCAGTGACATCCACTCCACCTTGAAACCCTGGAGCCATTTCTACAAGGTTCATTACTCCACTTCATTAAGCAACAGGTCCTGCTAGCTAAAATCTTAAAAAAAACAAAACAGTAGCAGCAATCGACAGTTTTAGCAACCCTTCCTAACTCCAGTCTATGACATGCCCATGAACTTTCCACATTAAAAGGATGTGATAGGGTGGAAAATTCTAACCTTTTCAGAACCTTGGGACTCTATAAAAATTCATGGTGGTAGAAGAAGCTAGAGAAGAAACCCATAATATGTAACTTAATATATGTGTATGTTTTGTGTGTACACATTGGCCTGCCTACCTGCCTGTTACAAAGCATAACATCCTACATTCCATGGAGATGCATCTCACAGGAGAATAAGACAAAGTAACAGTCCTCAAAAAGCTGACAGCAGAGGCAGAAGGAGGATGCAAACACATAAAGCAGTAACTAATTATGAAGCAGGATGAACTAAATGATAACAAAGGGGCAACAGTGATGTGTGGCGAGTCCCGACTGAGGGGAGGTTTTATATGGCAGCACCAAGTACAGAACAGATTCCAGGTTCAAACACACACACAACCGGAAGATGAGAAAGCTTAAGACTCAAAATGGAAGGGATTAGATAATGTAATATATATAAAAGTCCTGGCAGGTGGCTTCACTTATTGTCGTAAAAAGCAGTTGGCTCCGGGTGCGGTGGCTCACGCCTGTAATCCCAGCATTTTGGGAGGCCGAGGTGGGTGGATCATGAGGTCAAGAGATCAAGACCATCCGGGCCAACATAGTGAAACCCCGTCTCCATAAAATACAAAAATTAGCTGGGCATGGTGGTGTGCACCTGTAGTCCTAGCTACTCAGGAGGCTGAGGCAGGAGAATCGCTTGAACCCGGGAGGCAGAGGTGGCAGTGAGCTGAGATCGCACTATTGCACTCCAGCCTGGCGCCTGGTGACAGAGTGAGACTCTGTCTCAAAAAAAAAAAAAAAAGCAGTGGACATTTGATTTGAGCTCTGAAGTATAAAAGAATGTTAAGTGGGGAGAAGGCTGTTCCAAGATGAGGGAACAAGGTAGAGACAGAGTTGAAAGTTTAAGTCTTAGAGTAAGGTGGAGAATGGCGAGTTGACGGTGTGCTAGGAAACAGTGCCTGGAGAGAGAAAACAGGAGTCTGAAAGTTATGCTGGACAAAGCACCAGGAACTTTGTGTAACAGACTGCGGAGTTGGGAGGAAGTGAAGAAAAAGTTGGTTATTCAACCTTTGCATTCAGACACATCACGGCCACCTTCTCTTTAGTCCATCTGAGCTGGTCAGAAATAACCAAAGGAGAATAAGGAAATCAACATGTTGCAAGAACAAGGACATCTCTGTAGCAGTGCAGTGTCCTAATTGTGACAAATTGTGGAACAGTTCACCTCTACTCACCCAGACCCCTCTCCTATCAGTACCATCACCTCTTTCACCAGCCCCCACAGTATTAACTCCGCTTCCACTCTGTCCGACATCACCCCTCAACCCTTCAGCTCCGCCTCTTTGGTCTGGACTAGCAGCAGCCCCTACTGCCAGAACGACACCACAGCCACCCAGCATGGCAGAGCAAGCTGGCGCAGGGAAAGTGTGCTGGGAAGTGAGCAGCTGCACACTGTCCCACCACGGAATGCCATCCTCTGCCAATTAAGGAATTCCATGGAAAAGATCCATGTCAGTGGACACATCCAGATGGTGCCTGGTACTCTGCAGGTCCTCAACAATGTTCCATTAAATTGGGGCTTAATTGTTTGTGAGCTCTTGATTACAATAAGTCAAATTTCTCAATAAATGGAGTTAGACATCAAGAAGCAACTGCAGTGTCGTCAGATGTGAGCCTAAAAGCTCAATACTTTCTACCACGGCCCTCACTACCATTTTAGAATTATATTCAAAAATAAGCATGAGATTTCCCCAGTTATAAAGATAATACATATACATTATATAAAATTTGGAATATATCAAACTATCTTGCTTTCAAGTTCCCCAGGAAAACAACAGCCAGAATCAGTGATTGCAGTCATTTCCTACTGCTGCTGCCACAAATTACCACAAATTTAATGGCTTAAAACAAACATAAATTCATCTCACAGCTCTGGAGGTCAGAAGTCTGACCTAGGTCTTACTGGGCTAAAATTAAGTCATCAGCAGGGCTGTGTTCATTCTGAAGACTCTACTGGAAAATTTGTTTCTTTGCCTTTTCCAGCTCATGGGGGCTGCCCACACTCTTTTTTGTTTTGAGACAGGGTCTTGCTCTGTTGCCCCAGGCTGGAGTGCAATTATGTCATTACAGCCTCAACTTCCTGGGCTCAAGTGATCCTTCTGCCTTAGCCTCCTGGGTAGGTGGGACCACAGGTATGTGTCACCACTCCTGGCTAATTATTTTTTGAAATTTTTTTGTAGAGACAGGGTTTTCCTTGTTGCCCAGACTGGACTCAAACTCCTAGGCTCAAGTGATCCACCACCTTGCCCTCCCAAAGCGTTAGGATTACAGGCGTGAGCCACTGTGCCCAGCCTACCCACATTCTTTAGCTTGTGGCCTCTTCATTCATCTTCAAAGCCAGCAACTTTGTGTTGCTTTGATCATTAGTCACATCTTCCTGACTCTCTTCTGCCTCCCTCTTTCATTTTTAAGGACCCTTGTGATTACAGTAGGTCAACATGAATGATCCAAGATAATCTAGGATTCTCAGTTTGCTGATTAGCATGTATAACCTTAATTTTTTCCCATGTGAAGTAACAAATTCACAGATTCTAGGGATTAGGACACAAACATCTTTGGGGTATTATTGGCACGAATAATCCCTGTATTCAGAAATAGTAACCACAAACCTTTTATTATGTGGCTTTCCATTCTTTTTAAGGTTTACAGATATGCAAATATGTAATGCAGTCATATGTCTCTTATATCATGGGGATACATTCTGAAAAATGCACCTTAGGCAGTTTTGTCATTGTTTGAACGTCATAGAGTGTACTTAAATAAACCTAGATGGTATAGCCTTACACACCTAGGCTAGTTAGTAGAGCTACACACCTGCACAGCATGTTACTCTACTGAAAACTGTGGGTAATTGTAACACAATCATAAGAATTTATGTACCTAAATATATCCAAACATAGAAAAGGCACAGTAAAAATATGATATAAAAGATTTTTCAGATGGTTCTCTTATTTAGGGCATATGCCATGAATGGAGCCTGCAGGACTAGATGTTACTCTGAGTGAGTCAGTGAGTGAGTGGTGAGTGAATGTGAAGGCTTAGGACATTACTGTACACTACTGTAGACTGCATAAACACTGTACACTTAGGTTACACTCAACTCATTAAAAATATATTTGTCTTTCTTCAATAATAAACTATTGGGATACATTCTGAGAATTGTATTCTTAGGCAACATTTTGCCTACTACAACTTTTTTACTTTACAAACTTTTAAATTTTGAAAAACTTTTTGACTCTTTTGTAATAAAACTTAGCTTAAAATACACATTGTACAGCTGTACAAAAATATTTTCTTTCTTTACATCTTTAATCTAAATATATCTTTATTTATAAAATGTTTTATTTTAGTTTTTACTTTTTAGACTTTTTTGTTAAAAATGAATACACAAGCACACACATTAGCCTAGGCCTACACTGGGTCAGGATCATCGATGTAACTGTCTTCCACCTCCACATCTTGCCCCACTGAAAAGTCTTTGGGGGCAATAACACACGTGGAGCTGTCATCTCCTATGAAGACAATGCCTTCTTTCAGAATACCTCCTGAAGTACCTGACTCAGTCTGTTTTACAGTTAACTTAAAAAAATAAGTAGAAAGGCTATATTCTAAAATAATAATAAAAACTATAGTACAGCAAATACATAAACCAGTAACAGTCATTTATTATCACTAGCAAATATTAAGTACTGTGGATAATTGTATGTGTTATACTTTTATACAATTGGCAGTGCAGTAGGTTTGTTTACACCATCACCACAAACAGGTGAATAATGCCTTGTGCTATATCACTGGCTCTGATGGCTATGATGTCACTAGGTGATAGGAACTTTTTAGCTCCATTATAATCTGATGGGATTATTTACGTGCCATTGACCAAAATGTTGTTATTTGGCACATGGCTGTATATGTAATAGGCTGTTCCTCCACTTTAAAGTGGGATAATATGCATATAGGAGTGTTCCTCCACTTTAAAGTGGGATAATATGCATGGAGTTTTCTGGATAACTATAGACCTGTAAGACATGCTCTACTTTTAGATCAGCTAATAATCAACAAGGCTAATTTGAATATAATAATTGGGTACTGAAGAGCCAGTAAAAGTTTCTCTTTTCCCATTCAAATTGCCTGTGGAAGTGGAGTGAATGTGTCAGTGTGTGTTGATTCATGAGTTGACCAAATTTGACCAGAAAGTGAAATCTTCTTTTCTGGGAAGAATCAGAGGGTGTTCCAATGAAAACAGGAGCCATTGGCAATAGTGAAACCTGGAGGTTTCACACTTGTATTAATCATCCTTCAGCCTACTGAGTTCTGTGAAAAAGAGAACCTGTTTTCACATGCAGTCTAATAATTTGTGTCTGACCTGGCAACTCTTTTGTTCCTTCTTCAGTGTTCTAAGATTATACAAATGTAAAGAATAGTACATTTGATATCAGATATTTTTTTCTCCTAGCAGGACACTCATGAGTCATCATCAAAGATTTTTTTTATAGACTTGTACTCACAGGCTATTCTCTAGGTAGGGAGTTGCAAACAGTAAAGCAATTCATACTCAGAAGATACTTCAAAATGGTAAAATCTGTTTGAGTAGTCAAATAAAAATCAAGAAAAACATTTGCAATTATAATTGCAAAGGGATATGCTATTTATTTATAGAGTACCTTTCCCCAAAGTAATTTTTTTGTTTGAGACGAGGTCTCTCTCTGGCTGGAGGCTGGTGGCATGATCATGACTTATCACAGATTTGACCTCCTGGGCTTAAGGGATCCTCCTCAGTACCTGAGACTAAAGGCATGTGCCACCACACCTGGCAAATTTTTTATTTTTTGTAGAGATGGGTTTTTGCCATGTTGCCCAGGCTGGCCTCGTACTCTTTGGCTCAAATGATCTGCCTGTCTTAGCCTCTCACAGCCAGGCCATGCCTGGCCTGAAAGACTCTAAATCACTAAATTACTATGTTATCTTAAAAGACAGGTAGGGAGAGACTTTTTGGTAAAGTTTATCTTGTGATAAGGGAGAAGAATCTCTCAGTTCAACTTTCCCCCTTCTTCCTTCTCCATTTTTCTCATCTCTTTAGACCCCAAATTTTAAACCTGTGAAAGAATGGGCAGCAGTTAAGGCCAGATGTAGGGAGGAGTTAAATGTGTCATTTGCTCCCCACCATAGAGTCTTTCAGAGGCAAAAACTCATTAATGTTTTAATCCAGGTTTGATCTGAGGTCTCCTTGTCCCTTGAGATCTAGATAAAGTGAAATCAATACCCCACTGCCCCCCAACTTCAAGGCTTGTGGCTGATTTCTAAAAATTCCTAAGCAGTTTACATTTTCAAATTCACCTCTGGCTCCAAACTTTTGTTTCTTCAGTTTATGGGTTTTATTTTCAGTGTCTATGGGTTCTGCTGCTGCTGATGCTTTTTTAAGACAGAGTCTTGCTCTGTCGCCGAGGCTGGAGGGTGTGATCTTGACTCACTGCATCCTGGCTCAAGTGATCCTCCTACCTCAGCCTCCCAGTAGCTGAGATTACAGGTGTGAGCCACCAACACCTGGCTAATTTTTGCATTGTTGCTACGGCTGGTCTCAAATTCCTGAGCTTACAAAAGTGATCGGTTTTCCTCAGCCTTTCAAAGTGCTGGGATTCCACCACACCCAGCCTGCTTCGGCTCAGCAATGCATGACTCACATTCAGGCTTTTTCCCAGTCTGTGCGTGTGTGCGCACACACATGCACACCCCTCCAGGAGGCCATTTGTGTGGCAAGTGGGCTTTACTTACTATTTGAGAGACAGACGTGTTGCAGTAGGTAGTCAGGCAGACATGAGTGGGGCAGAAGAGGGCCCCTCCTCACCAGAAATGTCATGCGACTATCAGGTAATGGTCAGGCGGTTGTTAACTCTTTCTCTAAAATAGTAATTGGTCACAGCCAGTGCCAGGGAAAGGCAGTCTTCCAGTAAATAGAAAACACCTGAAACTGATGATCAGCAGCTTCCTGATAAGATCTTAGGAGTCAGGCGAGTGGGCTCCAGCATGCACATTAAGAGGCAAAATGGTGGAGTTTAACTGGTATATGTTCTTCTAGGAACACTCCACTGGTAAGGGATAAACACCTCAAGTGAGCATGCCTACAACTCCAGTAAACACACTGTGTGTTGAGCCCCTCCCAAGTGCTGACAGGCCACTGCACTCGGGACAGCCCACCCCAAGGGAAGAATGAGGGGAGAAATAATGCAACCCTGGAAGCACACTGACATATAAGACCCCAAGTCAAAGGTCAAACCATGCACTTGAATTAATCAAGTCACCTGCTTGGTCCTCTTCCAAGTGTACTTTACTTCCTTCATTCATGCTCTAGTACTTTTTAATACATTTTCACTCCTGTTCTAAAGCTTGCCTGGGTCTCTCACTCTGCCTTATGCCCCTTGGTTGAATTCTTTCTTCTGAGGAGGCAAGAATTGAGGTTGCTGTAGACCCGTATGGATTTGCCATCGCTAACACGTAAAAGTGGCAACTTCACCAAAGGAAGTTTCACTCAGTCTCTCTACCTCACCTGGTGCCCCAGTTTCACCTGGTGCCCCTCTTT